AGAGAGAGAGAGAGGGAGAGGTGAGAGAAGGAGGGAGAAATGGGAGGTGGGGGGCTTCTTTCTTCTCCTTAAGCCAGAACGAAGAAAAAAACAACAACAAGAAAGAAGAAACAAAAAACCTCACAAAAAGCATAATTTAATTACAATAAGCAGATCTAATTAAACACTGTGTATTTGTCTTACCTTGCCGGGTGGAGACTTTTTTGTTGTTGGCCAGCGAAGTGAGGATAACCTGAGGACACGAATCTTCCAAGGTGAACAGCTCGTCCTTGCTGACTGTCTTGTTGCGCCCCTTCATGGTGGCCGTGGCCCCAACAGCCGTCAGGTACGTCCCAGTCACGTCTTTGAAGGCCAGACCGCTGTTGGCGCCGCTGCGAATCTCCAGCGTGTAGCGTCCTTCGTCCGTGAGATCAGCGCTCAGGGTACCGTCCCGGTTCAGAAAACGGTTGTCGTATGTCTTCAGCGCGTATTTTCCTTCCTCGAAGTGCAGAATGATCAAGGCTTCTTGGCCCCAGGGTATGACCTCCGTGACTTGGAGCTGCTCGTCCTTCAGATGGGCGTATCTCTTCCGGTTCACGTTACGCAAGTTGACCTGTGGGTGGATGGACAGTTGGACAATCCACAGGTCCGCTTCCGTGACGGACTTGGAGAAGCATTTGAAGTTGTCCTCGGACCCCCCGAGATAATTGCCGTGCTCTAGGTTCCTGAACGCCCAGCGCCCGGAGCCGTTCTTGTCGTACTCCACAGAAAACTTCTCGGAGGCGGTTCTCTCCTCGGCCTCTGTCTCGCAGGTGACGTTCCCGTATTTATCAGACGACAAGTACCTCCCCGTGTGGCTCCGGATGTACAGGAAGTCCTCGTGAGAGTCCTGCTCCAGGATAAATGTCTGCTTCTTCTTCAGTGTGGTTCCAGACACGTTGATTTTGAAGCCGAACGACTCGGCGGTGAGATACTTCTTGGAACTGTTGATAAGTCCGACTTTCCATTGCAGCTCCGATTTGCTGCTGGTTCCGTTGCAACCGTTGGTGGTCATGTTGACTAATTAGGACGACGAATGGTGGTGGTACCCCAAAAAAGATGAAACAACCGATATGAATACTCCGGAGATTTCACTAAGATGAGATCTCAGAAAAAGTTCCTCCCTCGCAGACGACGCGTAGATCACACGGTAGTTCCAACTGACTGTTTACACAACAACAACAGATCCAGAACACAAACAAGAAAACGAATTATATTCCAGAAGAAAAAAGCACGTACACACTTGTCTCTTCTGCTGTGAGCGATCACGTAAACAGTGAGTTGTTGATTTGTTTTTTCACTTCTGTATTCCCGTCCGTATCCTTCGACTGTTTGACGACGTCTGTCTGCTCGCTCCCGGCAAACTCTTTGATGACGCGATTTCTTTCGTCTGCTGCTGCGAAACTAGCGGAGTCAGTCAACCCTCCTCGCCCGGTCTTGCTCGATCCTCCACTCCTCTCTTCCGCCGACGAGCCCTACCCTAACGCCCGCTTTTGATTGGTCGTCGAGCGGATTTGCCCTCTCAACCCGACGCGAGATTGGCTGAGCGCGAATCACAACCGGGAAATAATTTGGTTCAGTGCGTCTTTTCAATGTGTGTTTAACCCGAAAGTCTGATGTGTGTGCGTCGAACGCACTCTCTCTCTCTCTCTCTCTCTCTCTCTCTCTCATCCCACACATGCAATTGTGGAGTTGTGGAACGCACCTTTGTTTTTTCAATTAAAACATCTCTCCCTTCTCACTGTTTCCTTCCCTCTACTCACTGTTTGAGTTTGTCCACTATAGTCTTTACGGCGACAAGCTTGCCGAACTGAAAATGAACCGGTTTCTTTCGGTGAGCGTTCACGTGGGCTGTTGTTGAGCGTTGAGATACCAGAAAGAGGGGGGGGGGGGGGGGGTAAACATTTTCTTTTGTTCAGGTCAAGTTCAACGACGAGACATTCAAACAGTGATTGGACACTGATCGTAACCCTTCCCAAGGGAGGGATGGAAAAGATGTGGACACTCATCGAGGAACAAACAAACTCTCTTAAATCATACAGATCAGCATATACATGCTCACATACACACACACACACACACACACACACACACACACACACACACACACATACACATACACACACACACAAACACTCTCACATATTCACACACACACATCATATTCACACACACACACACACACACAAACACACATGTACCACAGACACACATACACACACACACATACACACACAAACACACACACACACACACACACCCACACACACCCTCATATATTTACACACAAAAACGCACGCACACACACAAACACACTAGCTTTCCCTGTACTACAAGCACACACCCTCACCAGTTGTAAGCCAGCTGCACCGACACCCTGACATGATCCGCCGTTTCCACGACGATGAGATCCGAGAA